CATCAGTGTTTTCATATTTTTTAATTTTCTTTTAATCATATAGGAGAGACCTTAGAAGTAAGGAATTGAGAACAGAATCTAATGGGAAAAACTAGGACACTTCATTTTCAAATTAACCGTTCTTTGAGAGGGAAAGCCAGTGCAGCACCCTGCGTCTGGAGTGCCATCTACTTGGGAGGCTGAGATAAAAGGGTTGCTTGAGTTCAGCACACAGGAACTTGGGTTCAGCCTAGATAACAGAGACACATCTCAAAAGCAGGTGTGTGTGTGTGTGTGTGTGTTTAATTACGGTCTTGTGATTTGTAAATGTTGTTGAAGAATTTAGCTGCTATGTGTAATTGGTAAGCAGAAGACATTAAAATGAAGATGTTACTCAATGACAGCAGAAAAAACAGTGAGCAGATGGAACTGGCTAGCCTTGTGGAAATTGTAGTCACAAAGTTCAACCAAGAAAACTTCAAGCTACTGAGGGTTTTGAGGTATAGCTAGGGGAGAGAAACCTTTGGGGAGTAAATAAATAAAGGCAGATGGGCTAGGTGTGGCTCCTTGGTAGAGAGCTTTTCTTGGAGGTGTGAGGCACTGGGTTCCATCCTCAGCACCACATAGAAATAAATAAAGGCTTTTTTTTTTTTTTTAACTAAATAAAGGCAGGAAGGCTCTATTGAGCCACAGAACAGACACAGACTGAGGGAGCTGACAGAAGGGCTGCTGAGCTTCCCTCTCCTGGAAGTTGAGGTGTTCCTCCAGCTATGTCTCTGGCCATGTGTACTCTTGGCACTCCTGAGAACTTTGTAACAGCCCCCCAAATTCTCTTCTGATTTCAGACCTGCAGATAGATGAGTCAGGGAGCCATCTGGAGAACATGTCTGCCAGACTTTCAGCCCCAGAGCCTCCCCAGCTTGTGAACCTCCATAGGAGTTCTTCCAATTACTTTAGGGACCTGGTAAATACAATTGGGAGCTTGTGTGACATAGTCTGTTTTTGCACACCAAATCACTGAAGCTGGAATTGAATATAAAGGTAAAGCTCACTTTTTATTGCTCACTTTTTTTTAAATATTTTTTTAAGAGAGAGAATTTTTTAATATTTTTTAGTTTTTTGGCGGACACAACATCTTTCTTTGTATGTGGTGCTGAGGATCGAACCTGGGCAGCACGCATGCCAGGCGAGTGCCCTACCGCTTGAGCCACATCCCCAGCCCTGCTCACTTTTTTTAAAGCTCACTTTTTATTATTATGATGAGCTGCCAAGATCCTGAGAAGGGATCTTGGCAGCTCATCATAGCATCTACTACTTTGTTTATTGCTAAACAAACAGGCCAACAATAGAAGCTGGGTAGCCAAACAAATCCCTTAACATCTACTCAGGTTTTTGTTGTTTGGTACTGGGGTGCTTTACCACCGAGCTTCGTCCCTTGCCCTTTTTATTTTGAGACAGGGTCTCATCACTAAGTTGCTGAGGTTGGCCTCAAGCTTGGAATCCTCCTGTCTCAGCCTCCCAACTTGTTGGTATTACAGATGTGTGCTACCGACCAGCTATTGTAAGGATTTGCCATCAAGCACAATACACAGGCAATTAGAAAGTGGCTCATGTCTGACCAGTCTGATTTGAAGGACTATTTTATGGGAAAAGATGTCAACTTTTCTGTAAGTTTCTCCTCTAGAGCTAGGCCAGTGGGCTGACAGGAAGACAAACTGTAGTCGTTGAGGCTGCCTCATGATTGTACCCCCACTCAAGAGGGCTGTGTGGCCCCATCAGAAAATGGCTTTCTAGGGTAGGAGGCAGTGCTGGATGGCCTCCAACTTGGCTTCCACATTACCAAATCCATGAAGGAGACATGAAGAGCCTGTATGTGTGGAAGTGCCAGCCTTCAGGAAGGTGGCATAAATGAATTACAGTGCTGAGAAAAACTAGTTTTTGAAAATGAGAGGAGAGTTGTCTTAAGGGATGGAAAAATGGCAGTGTCAGCCAGCTCTCTTGCAGAAAACAGTGGACAAAGAGGAATCCGACGGAAGGAAGATGCCCTGGATCACTCCAGACTGGATCATAGTGGCCACCCCTTTCTCTAGTGATGCCAGCCAGTTGGGAAGCAGTCTTTCCACAACTGCTGATCCTGGAGCTGCTCTGCCAACATCATACCCTTAGTCAGTCAGGAGCTGGTCAGGGTAAAAGGCTTCAGTCTACAGGATCTTCTTCTTCTTTTTTTTTTTTTTACATGTTGATGGATCTTTATTTTATTCATTTATTTATATGTGGTGCTGAGAATCTAACCCAGTGCCTCACACATGCAAGGCAAGTGCTCTACCACTGAGCCACAACTCCAGCCCTACAGGATCTTCTTCAAAATTCTGACCTCCCTACCTCTGCTGGCCAGACCATACTCACCAATACCTTCTCTGACAACCTGGCTTACCCCTGATGGGTGGCTATGGGGCCTTCAGTCCAGTCTATGAGGTATTCAGATGCCAGTTAGAGACTTATTCTGTGTGGTGGTACTGTCTTGAGATTTGTTGGACAGACCATCATTAAGCTAAGTTTAGCATCACAGCCTGGCTCTGCATCAGGCTGGAGCATGGAGACTGGATATCAGAGACTGTATGAAGTCTCAGCAGGCTAGCAGGGTGGCCCCAGGCTGTGGAATGCTTTCACAGCCTGAGTGAAGGGTTTCTAGAAGTCCCTGAACCTGGAGTGATGAACTGCCCTCAATTCCACCCTCCTCCAACTAAGCTTCTATTGCTTTTTTTTTTTTTTTTTTGCTTCCCCCATTATGAGCTGCAGGCTGTTATTAAGATACAGTTTCTGCTTTGCCTTGACATCCTAGAGGGCCAGACTGTGGCTTACTCATTCTTCACATCTTTTGTGCCTGTTGCAGATTGGGTTTACTGGGAGTAAATTGAAGATATCTGCATGCAGCGTATAGGAATGGAAGGGAGGGCCTAGAAATAGAATCAAGCAGAGAGAGAGAACTTTAGCAGCAATCCAGGCCCAAGGAGAACCTGGGTCCGCCCCACATTCTGGAACTGGGATAGCCCTGCAGAGTTGTCCTGAGTTGGGGCAGTGGGCCAAATCTCCCTTCAGTTAAGGCTGTCAGCCTTTGGATGTTGGCTGCTACCAGGAGGCATGACCTTGGGAGAGCTTTTCCTCAGCTGAGGCAATACCTGCAAGGGACTGACGGCTGAAGACTTTCTGCTGTTAGTACTTTCAGCAGTGAGGGCAACAGTATTTCATTCCTGAGAAGGGGTCTTGGCAGCTCATCGTAGCATCTACTACAGTGCCTAGAGCATAATAGATGCTTAGTAAAAATATTTTATTTGTCAAATTAATACTTGAGGAAAATTTGAGATAGATGATAACATTGAAGGAGAAAGTACAGACAAGGTACCCATTACCAGAATTCAGTGTTAATGGGGTGGGGGTCAGGACAAAGGAGGTGAGATGAGATACAGCATGTTTGGGTCAAGTTTTTTAACTTTACCCAAACTATGGAGAGTAGTTTATCTAGCCAAAATCTTTACAATGAAACGAAATGGAAGCATTGGAACACTGTCAAGTTTTTTTTTTTTTGGGGGGGGGGTCTGAATCCCAGGAGCATTTTAGCATTGAGCCGATACCCTTTTTAGTTTATAATTTTGAGGCAGGGTCTTGCTAAGTTTTTTAGGGCCTTGCTATCTTGCTGAGGCTGGCTTTGAACTTTTGGGGGGTGGGGTACCAGGGATTGAACTCCAGGGCACTCAACCACTAAGCCACATCCCCAGCCCTATTTTGTATTTTATTTAGAGACAGAGTCTCACTGTGTTGCTTAGTGCCGCAGGGGTGGTGAAGAGCAACTTGTGTAGATTGATACAGCAGGAGTGGGAGCCGTTTATTGTAGGACAGGAGCGGTATATATACATTCCACACAGCTTATCTTAATTAACAAAAACTAGATACAGCAGTCAACCAATAAGGAATCTCCACACTTAATGGCTCGCTGGTGTTACTTCACAAACCACTCCCTCTGGCAAAATGCCAGGCGCCATCCTGACTTGTTTACAGACTCTAACACTTAGCGCCACACCATTGCTGAGGCTGGCTTTGAACTCGTGATTCTCCTCCTCAGCCTCCTAAGCCACTGGGATTACAGCCAGCCCCGCCTGGCTTTGAATTTTTGATCCTCCTGCCTCAATCTCCCAGCTGCTGGGATTACAGACATGTGCTACTATGCCTGACTAAATGGATCTTTTAACTTCCCCTTGTTTTCTTTCGAGGAAATGCTAAGGAACTTTCAGATAATAACAGTGAAATGTTTCAAGGCTCTTGGGCAGTAGGCACGATTGAAGTGCTTTCCCTGTATTAACTCAATCCTTACAACCTTATGAACTGGCACAATTACTAATCCCATTTTATAAATGAAGGAGTTGACATGGTGGCAGGACTGAGATTCAAGAGCACAGCTCTTAACTGCCACACTGGGCTACGATGTTGCTCTTGGTGTGACATGATGTGCTGAATATCGCTTATTAATGTCACCTCTTAAGCCTCATCATTAATTGGGCAGGGGGCTTGGTCAAGCTTTCCTCAGGAAAGCAAGTTAGTGAGGGGGATTCCTTGGCAGAATGGCTTACACATAGGAGGTGCTTAGAGAAAAAATGATCCAGAGTTTGTGGTATAGTGGAAAAGTCATGACATGGGATTGGCTCAGCTCTACCACTGATGGTCTTGAGCAAGTCAACATCTCCTGAATAAATCATTCATATTCATAAAGTGAGCCTCACTAGGATATCTTGCCTGCTGCTTTGGGTAGTAGTTTGTTTTTGCAGTACTAGGAATAAAACCCAGAGACACTTTACCCCTGAGCTACATCCTCAGTCCTTTTTCACTTCAAGACTATCTGATCAAGTTGTAGATGGTAGCCTTGAACTTGGGATCCTCCTGCCTCAGCCCCACAGTTGCTAGATTACAGGGCGCCACACTCAACTTCTTTGGTTATTTGGAAGGTTTGAATGAGACAAAGTCCTATATAAAGTGAATAAGAATTTATGAAATCTGTGAAGTCCCAAGGATCTAAGAGGTGTCATGGAGTGGCAGAGCAGCAACTTAGGGCCTCCTAATGATAAACAAACTCACGTTTATGCCCATAAACACTCCAAACCAAGTACTGGATGCCTTAAGCTTTCAGAGCTTGACACCATAGTCTCCTGAGCTCCATCGACTCACATACTCCATTCGACTTTCATCTTCCTTCTTCCACTTGTGATGGCCTCCTTGTGTCACTTTTCTCACCAAAAGAGGCTGTGCTGACCAGCAAAGATGGATTTTTCAGGCCACCTGACAGCTGCATTTAAAAATATATATATATTTAGTTGTAGTTGGACACAATACCTTTATTTTATTTATTTTTATGTGGTGCTAAGGATCGGATCCAGGGCCTCACATGTGCTAGGCAAACACTCTACCACTGAGCCACAACCTCAGCCCCCTCGCAGCTGCATTTCTAATGATAAATTAATTAACACATCTGGTTTATAGATCAGTCTCTTCTAAGTTTCACCTGTGTGAATCAGAGGCCCTTAGCATGATCCACTAATAATTTGCCGAGTACTATATACCTGTCATGGTTCTTAGCATTTTATATGAACTACTCAATCTGTCTGTTTGTTTGTTTTGTACCAGGAATTGAACCCAGAAAGGCTTAACCACTGAGCCACACCCATGGCTCCTTTTTGTATTATCATTTAGAGACAGGTCTCGCTGAGTTGCCACTGAGTTTCGTAGGGCCTTGCTAAATTGCTGAGGCTGGCTTTGAACTCAAGATCCTCCTGCCTCCATCTCCCAAGCCACTGGAATTACAGGTGTGCACCACCACGCCCAGTGAATTATTCAGTTTTTACAAAAAAAAAATGAGATATGTGTTATCCCAAGTTTATAAATGATAAAATGGAGACCCAATCAAGTTAAATACTGGCCTAGGTTCACCTATCTAGTGAGACTCTGAACTGGGGCTAGAACTGAGTCACATGGAACCCAAAGCCCAAGCTCGCTCACTTCAGCACAGTGAAACACTTTGACTATGTGGACACACGTTGCAAAACTAAGGGGATGAGCATCTGTTCTCTGCCTGGTGACTTCAGCAGACACTGGGCCCCTGGAAACCACATCTGAGCTGCCTGCCTGGAGAATACAACACTTTTCAAAAGATTTTATTAAATAAACCCAATTTGTTAAATGGTTATTTTTCCCCATGATTTCTTATGGTCCTAATCCACAAAGTTTCTGATCAACCCTGCCTAATCATGTTTGTTAACCCACCTTATTCTATTACAAACCCCAAGGGGGAAAAAAGCTCTTTTATATAGTTTGGAATGCTCTTCAGTGGTATCTTGAGGCACATCTTCCTGCCTCCTCAGCTCCTAGATGGGTGTGTCATTGTGCCCGGAGATTTAAGACTGGGTGCTTCTACTTGACACAGGCCGCTTCTCTGAATGCTGGCTGCTTCCTCGGGGACTATCTGAGCAGAGGCATGCTAGGACTCTACACCTTACTGGTATGCTCACGACCTGAAATGGGAAGGGTTGGTCCAGGACGTTTGGGTGACTGAGGAAAGAGTATTCCATCTGATCTAACATTTCCATGCTTGAGACTTTACCTTCTGCTCTATAAAATGAATATGACGCTCCTCTGTCTTCTGCCTTATTTGTTTGATATTATGATATAGTGCTGTCTAGAGAGGAAGCATGGAGAGATGCCCTCTCAAATGAGTGTTTCACTGAATAATTTCCACACGCCTGGCCATAGCCCCCGACATTCTATTTGCTGGCTCCTGGACTGTTCATTCCTTGTACCACATGTGCCAACCCCTGTGGCTGGGCCTGAGAACAGCATTTGCTCAGACACTGTTATTGTTCTCAGGGGTCTGTGCCATCACCAGAGGGAGAGACAGAAACAAGCTGAGGGGCACATGTACAGGAGCACAATGGAGTGCCAGGTACAGCCCAGTCACCACCACGCACCACCCCAATCCTGCTCTTCTAGCCTGGCTGGCTGAAGCTCTTGCACTTTCAGCGCTCCTCAATGCTTCTCTGCCCTGCCAGCTCCACATATGCTAGAAAAACTCAGAAAACTTTCCCCATATCCCCCAACTGAGGATGACATCCTTTTGTGCTCCTAGTACGATGGGCACATTCCTTATCATAGCTCCTGGAGTCGGCTTTTTTTTTTGACTTGTGCCCCACAATAGACCTTGCATCCCGAGAGCAGGAACCATGTGACTATATGACTGCCTTCGCACCGTCTAGTGTGTACCTGCTGTATATGGTCTGTACAATAAGTACCTGCTAGTATGATGTTTTATATTAAGTTTCCTAATCACAAACTGACCTTACTACATTCCTTTAATAAATTTCACTTGGTCGGGCTGGGGATGTGGCTCAAGCAGTAGTGCACTCGCCTGGCATGCGTGCAGCCCGGGTTCGATCCTCAGCACCACATACAAACAAAGATGTTGTGTCTGCCAAAAACTGAAAAATAAATACTGAAATTCTCTCTCTTTAAAAAAAAAAATTCACTTGGTCATGGTGAACTTTAAAAAAAAAAAGATAAATGAGGGCTGGGGTTGTGGCTCAGCAATAGGGCACCCACCTAGCATGTGCGAGGCCCTGGGATCGATCCTCAGCACCACATAAAAATAAAATAAAGGTATTGGGTCCATCTACAAAAAAGTATTTTTTTAAAAAAGACTACTAAATGAATGGGAGGAAAAGAGTGAAAATTATTCCTCCATCCAGCACCATAGTGCTGAAAGTTACAGTATTAAAAAGGCATTTGGGAGGGTAGAAAGTAACAAAGTATGTTATATGAATGTATGAAATGCCACCATGAAACCCATTATTATGTTTAATTCATACACATTAATATGAAATAAAAAGACTTTCTCATTATGCATGACCACCCTCTCTTGAGGAATATTAAACAATAACACTTATAAAAGGAAGAACTAGTAAGGGACCACCCACACAAAGAAGGATGGTGATGAGACAGAGCATGTATTCTGGAAATCTAGAACCAAATTCAATTCCTCACACCCCCTAAGGCTTGCTTAATCACTGAGTTTTCAATGAGTAATCCGGGAATTCATTTACACCAAGGAGCTATAAGGATTAAATGGCACAATGTATGTAAAGCACTAGTGCAAAATAAAGGGTGCTTGCTTTCTTATTATCAGAACCTAAATTTGTATTGATTTTTACTGGAATATCTTTATGAAAAACTTTCAGGAGAAGAGAAAAAAAAAAAAGAAAGTCTTACAGAATCCGAGGGGAAGTATCAAGGCTGCAACCACTCCATAAAAAATCCTCTGTAGCTGGGCATGGTGGTGGCACCTAAAGTCCCAGCTACCCAGGAGGCTGAAGTAGGAAGATCATTTGATCCCAGGAGTCCAGGGCCAGCCTGGGTGACATATTGAGACCCTATCTATTTAAAATAAATATGATTTTTTAAAGCCCCTAAATTGTCTGCACTCAACATTCTCATGCATATGAAAATATCAATAAGTTTTATGCAGCAAAATGCATTAAGTACCATAGAAAAAGCAAAATTTCTCAAAGGACAGGTGAGCTTTCAAGGCAAACAGTATCAGGAAAGTAAGCTGACATTAGGGCAATTTCTGATAAAGCAATAGGAGAGCAGCAATGGAGTCACCCCCTCCCCTTTTTTGGTACTTGGGGGTTCTCTGCCACTGAACTACATTCCAGACCTTTTTTTATTTTGAGACAGGGTCTTGCTAAGTTGCTCAGGTGACCTTGAATTTGTGATCCTCCTGCCTCGCCCTCCTGAGTCGCTGGGATTACAGGAGTGCACCTCCATGCCTAGTCCTCATCCTCCTTTTTTTTTTTTAATGGAATCTCTTTCCTTCTGAAATAATCCCCCCCTTCTCTGGCCTCCCATGGCACTTTGCCTCCACTTCCCTTGGAAAACTAGTCATGTTCTGCCTTGAATGGAGCTTCCTCTACACATGAGTTGTAAGCCAGGGTACCTGGCAGGTTTATTCTTAAATCTCCATAGGTACCCTTCTCTAGCCTTAAGGTTTGTATCTCAGCAAGTTCGCAGGAGTCTTTTGCACAATTAGTTTGGTGATGTGTGTGGTTCCTTCTGTCGGTACAGCTGGTGCAGCTCCTTTGAGTGCTGGTGTTGGCCTCCTCTTTCTCCCCCCACACTCCCTCCTCTGCCACCATCACTGTCTGTCTCTCTGTCTTGACTTCTCTGGTTGCTGGTGAAAGTATTAATTGTGTATTCCTACTGCTACTATCCAATTCCAGGTAAGGCTTTCTGTTGAGATTTTTGTTGTTGTTTTTGTTTTGTTGTTTACCTGTGCTATGGATTAAACCCAGGGCTGTCTCATGCATGCTGGGCAGGAACTCTTAGATTTTTAAAAATTTAGGTGTGGTGATACATGAAGGAAGCCCTGGGTTCAATAGCATGACTCTGGTTCCATCATGTGTGGCGGGGCAGGGGGTGGGGAGGATTTAAGTAAGTATATAGCTGTCTCCCAGCTCTGTACATTGAGAGAACTGTAGAGAAGTGGCACCCACAGGCTGGGGATGTGGCTCAAGCGGCAGCATGCTCGCCTGGCATTTGTGCGCCCTGGGTTTGATCCTCAGCACCACATACAAACAAAGATGTTGTGTCCGCTGAAAACTAAAAAATAAATATTAAAAAAAATTTTTTCTCTCTCTCAAAAAAAAAAAGAAGTGGCACCCAGTCTCCTGCCAATCATAATGAACAAACCCAGTGCCCAAATCTGTGTTTCTAAATACCATTCTCATGAACTAGGGGTATGGCTCAGTGGTATAGCATTTGTCTGGCAGGAATTAAAGCCCTGGATTTAATCTCCAGCAACACACACACACACACACACACACACACACACACACACACACAGAGCCAGGCATGGTGGCACATGCCTGTAATCCCAGTGACTAGGAAGCCTGAGGTAGGAGGATTACAAGTTCAAGGCCAGCGTCAGCCATTTAGCAAGACCCTAAGTGGCTTAGTGCGACTGTCTCAAAATAAAAAGGGTTGGGGAGATGGGGGTGACTATAATCCCAGCAATTTGGGAGGCTGAGGCAGGAAGATCTCAAGTTCAAAGCCAATCTCAGCAAACTTAGTGAGACCCTGTCTCAAAATTAAAACCAAAAATAAAAAGGTCTAGGCATGTAACTCAGTGGTGAAATCCCCTCTGGGTTCAATCCCCAGTACCAATAAACAAACAAACACACTATTCTCCAAAAGGACTGATTCTAGGTCTGAGGGAGAGAAATTGCAAGATGAGACTAGAAATTGTATACTATAAAGCAGAAATACTGCAAGAATGATGGAGACATATAGAATGAATACAAAAATCAGCTTGCAGTGCTCTCAGTGTACAAATGAGGGACCATTTAAGCATCTGCACGGGGAGAGGTTGGAATAGAGGACAGTCCCTGAATAAAATAAAAAATCATGAGTCCATACTGATGTTTATCAATACATGAATATGTTGAAAGTTTGCTAAGAAATAAGACACATATTTTCAAAATATTTCCACCCAAACATTTATTTATTTATTTATTTCATCTTTATTTTATTTATTTATTTTTATTTGGTGCTGAGGATCAAACCCAGGGCCTCCCACGTGCTAGGCGAGCACTCTACCTCTGAGCCACAATCCCAGCCCCCCAAACATTTATTAATTATAGTTACTTTAGAGTAGAAAGGCTTGGCAGACACTACCTTAATCAAGTAATCAGAATGAACAATATCAGTAAAGGGACAAATCAATGTCTTGTGCCACCTGATAGAATACGATCAAAATACAGCATCGCTTCTGCAATAATCCTGTTAAAGATACATAACTGGAATCTAATCATGAGGAAGCATCAGACAGGCCCCAATTAAGGATTATTCTACAAATGCTCTGCACCTTTTCAAAATATCAAGGTCACAAAAGTTAAGAAGTGTTCCAGACTGAAAAAGAGACTAAAGAGATATATCAAAAGGCACTGTGTAATCTACACTGCATATATTTAAAAGACATTATTGAGACACTAGGCAAATTGGAGCAGGGTTTGAGGATCAAACCATAGAGATGAAGAATCATTATTAATGTCCTGATTTGGGTGGTTCTGCTGTGGTTATGCATGAGAATGTCTTGTTTGTAGGTAATACATACTGGGATTCAAGAGTGATAGTTCTGGGCATGGTGGCTCATGCCTATAATCCCAGTGACTTGAGGGGTTAAGGCAGGAGGATGGGAACTTCAAGGTCAACCTCAGCAATTTAGCAAGGCCCTAAGCAATTTAGTGAGATTCTGTCTCAAAATAAAAGACAAAAAGGGCTGGGGATGTGATTCAGTGGTTAAGTGTCCCTGGGTTCAATCTCCAGTATCTCCCTCCACCCCACAAAAGGAGTAATGGAACATCAAATTGGCTACTTTCTTATAAATAGTTCATGGCAGGCTGGGGTTATGGCTCAGAGGTAGAATGCTCACCTACCATGCGTGAGGCACTGGGTTTGATCCTCAGCACCACGTAAAAATAAAATAAAGGTATTGTGTCCACCTACAACTAAAAAATAAATATAAATAAATAAATAAATGGTTCATGGATAAAAAAAAGTGCTTTGTTGGTTGGGGCTGTAGCTCAGTGGCAGAGCACTTGCCTAGTCAGAGGCACTGGGTTCAATCCTCAGCACCACAGAAAAAAGAAACAAGTAAAGGCATTGTGTCAATTTACAACTACAAAAAACCCTTTAAAAAAAATGCTTTGTGCTGGGTGCGGTGGCACACACCTGTAATCCCAGCTGCTTAGAGACTGAGATAGGAGGATCGTGAGTTCAAAGCCAGCCTCAGCAACAGTGAAGCACTACGCTACTCAGTGAGACCCTTCTTTAAATGAAATACAAAATAGGGCTGGGGATGTGGCTCAGTGGTTGAGTTTAATCCCTGGTACAAAAAAAAAAAAAAAAAGCTTTGTTCTGTACTTCAATTTTTTTGTATTGAGATTGTTTAAAATTTTTAAATATAAAAAAATACAGGATTGTTGTAATAAGCTGAAGAATGTATTCAAAGAAAGCTATTTATTCACCTGTCCCTCCCAATTCTAGTCCCCTCCCTAAGGAAACCATTGTTGCCAGTTTTGTATGTACCTTTCCAAATTTTCATCTATAATCATCTGAAACATGAAGTGGGAACTTCACATGTATGGTGATCTCATCTCTCATTGTGCCAGCTGTTAACTTTGTTCATAGTGTCCTTCACTAAACAGAAATCCTTAATTTTTGTAACATTTTATTTTGAAATAATTTTAGACTTGGAGAAATATTGTGACAACGAATTCTGCTCTTCCCTCAGCCAGATTCTCAGAACGTCACATTTGTTTTTATCTTCTGTGTGTGTGTGTGTGTGTGTGTGTGTGTGTGTATTGCCTAAACTATTTAAGAGTAAGTTGTAGACAAAAACTTCCTTTATTTCTAAATACTCCAATGTGTTATTTTCTAATAAGAACTCACCCTAAATAACCACAATGCTTGGGGCTGGGGATGTGGCTCAAGCGGTAGCGCGATTGCCTGGCATGCGTGCGGCCCGGGTTCGATCCTCAGCACCACATACCAACAAAGATGCTGTGTCCGCCGAGAACTAAAAAATAAATATTAAAAAAAAATTAAAAAAAAAATAACCACAATGCAGTTATCATACTCAAGATATATACACAGATACACTGCTAGTACTAATCTATAGAGTTTATTCAAATGTGACCAATTGTACCACTAATTTCTATAAAATAGAAAAGGGAATAATTAGGGAGGGGGACACAGGATCCAATCCAGGGTTCCATGTCACATTTAAAGTTGTTTCTTGGGCTGAGGTTATGGCTCATTGATAGAGCATTTGCCTGGCATGTGTGAGGCACTGGGTTCGATCCTCAGTACCACATAAAAATAAATAAATAAAAATAAAGGTGCTGTGTCCATTTACAACTAAAAAAAATAAAAATAAAAAATAAAGTTGTGTCTCTTTAGCCTCCTTTGTTTGGAATAATTCTTCAGTCTTTTCTTATCTTTTGTAACCTTGACATTTTGGAAAAGTACCGGACATTTGTTCATTTGGATTAGGCTGGTGTTTCCCCATGATTAGATTCAGACTGTGCATTTTTGGCAGGAACAACACAAAAGTGATGCTGTGCCTTCTCAGTGCATCTTATCAGGAGGCATGTGATGTCAATTTGTCCCATTACTGGTGATGTTAACTTTGATTATTTGGTTAAGGTGGTGTCTGTCAGGGTCCTATGCTAGAAATTATTATTTTGCCCTTTGTAATTAATAAATATCCCATGGACAAGAAATACTTAATTTCTATCCAATCAAAATCATCAAGGTTTTGCAACAATAATTTGTTCTTTTGACATTTTGATCCTTTCCCACTCCTAGGTAACTGATTTTCTGCTTTTTTTTTTTTCCACGATGGGGATCCAGCCCAGGGACCCACACATCTAGACAAGCACCCTACCATTGGGCTACACCCCAGCCTCCTGCAACTTTTTAAAAATTAATTGTGTAGTTATATTTTCTTACTTAGGTCTTTAAGACATCTGTAATTCACCTTTATAAATGTCATTGTATAGGGACATGGTTCTCATCTTGCTCCATATACTAAGCCAGTTTTTCTTACATTATCTACTAAACAACCTATCATTTCCTCAGTGATGATAATCAGTGCCACATTTATTACATATTACATGTTCTCATTTATATTACATATTATATTATATTATACTATACATGTGTCAGTCCTGTATTAGTCTCTTTGCTCTTATACCAGTACCATGCTGTGTTTTTTGTTTGTTAGTAAGATTGAACCCAGGGTGCTTAACCACTGAGCCAGCCAGCCCTTTTGTATTTTTTATTTGAAATAGGATTTCCACTAAGTTTCTGAGTACCTCACTAAGTTGCTGAGGCTGGCTTTGAACTCTCCATCCTCCTATCTCAGCCTCCCTGGCAGCTGGGATTACAGGAGTGTGCCACCACACCTGGCTACCATGCTGTTTTGATTATTGTAGCCTTGGAGTATGTCTTGACATCTGATAGGGAAAGATTGACTCTGATTATAACATATTGACTTTGTTCTCTTTTGAAATTTATTTATTTCTCCATATAAATACTGGAGTAAGTTTTTTACATTTCTCAGAAATTCTTCACAAACTTGAATTAGGATTGCTTTCACTGTATACATTAAGTGGGAAAAACTAACATCATTTGTTATTAAACCATTCCATCCAAGACACTAGAGTTTCTTTCTACTTCATTTGGATCACTTCTATGAACTTTTGGGTTTTAGTGTTTTCATATATATTCTTAAGTAAACTATCTGGTTTTTTATGGTTATGTCATATTGTGAATGATATCCCTTTTATTGCGTTTTCTGGTTGATTATAAGTGCTATGTTATTGGTTTTTGTAGATTGAGCTTTTTTTTTAAAGAGAGAGAGAATTTTTTTAATATTTGTTTTTTCTCAGTTTTTGGCAAACACAACATCTTTGTTTGTATGTGGTGATGAGGATTGAACCCGGGCCGCATGCATGCCAAGCAAGTGCACTACTGCTTGAGCCACAGCCCCAGCCCCTAGATTGATCTGTTTTTTTAAAAAAAATTTTATAGTAGATAGACATAATACCTTTATTTTCTTTTTATGTGGTGCTGAGGACTGAATTCAGTGCCTCACACGTGCTAGGCAAGCACTCTGCCAACTGAGCTGCAGCCCCAGGCCTGTAGATTAATCTTGTATCAGGCTACTTTGATGAATTCTCTGACAAGTAACAATAGCTTGTTGATGTTATTGGTATTTTGAGATGACTCACTGTCTAATTATGATTTTAAGTATATAAACATGTATTTATAAATATTTCCCACCTGTCTCTATAGTAAGCTACTCATGAGTTCATACTAATGGCTCCAACTCCAATCCATGACTCATGGATCATTCTAACCTTGTCTCCTTGCTCAGCTATAATGGGAGTCCCCCCCATTCCAACATTAAGACACGTGGTTCACTTGTCATGGTGGCATACCTGTAATCCCAGTGCCTCAGGAGGCTGAGGCAGGTGCAAATTTGAGGCCAGCCAGGGCAATTTAGCAAGACCCTGTCTCTAAATAAATAATAATGATTCAACAATGATGATGATAAGAAGGGCTGGAGGTGTGTAGCTCAGTGGTAAAGTACCTTGGATTCAATCCCCAATATAGAAAAAGGGGACTGGGGATAGAGGCAGGAAGGAAGGGAGGGAGGAAGGAAGGAAATAAACCTGACTCCCACCATGCACTATTCCTTTATTTAATTGTTCAAATCCAGAACACATGAATGTATGTTAACCCATTTCCCCATGGGAAACAACTTTGTCCACTAGAGTTCTTTGACCTTTAGTCTTTTTTTAATATTTATTTTTTGGTTAGACACAATACCTTTATTTTGTTTATTTATTTATTTTTATGTGGTGTTGAGGATCAAACCCAAGGCCTCGTGCATGCTAAACAAGCGTTCTACCGCTGAGCCACAACCCCAGCCCTACCTTTAGTCTTACAGACTCTATGTATTTCCAGAGTAACTCAGGTCAGCACCATTCTCCACTCTCCAATAATTTCATTTCATACATATGCAATACAGCTAGAGTCTTTTGCCACATTCTGCATTACATCCTAAGATCTCTCATTCTCTTGAATGGTTTTTTAAATTGTATATACATAACCGTTCACTTTTGTGCTAGAAGGATTGATGGGTTTGACAGATGCATAGGGTCATATATTACCTGTCACATTATCATGCAGAATAACTTCAGTGTCCCCCCCAATCCCCTATGTTTCATCATTCAACCCTCACCACACCTTCCCCTCATACCCAATAATTTTGTTTATCATCTTTATAGTTTTGCTTGTTCCATGATGTCCTATAAATGAAATCATACACTGTGTAGCCTTTTCAGACTAATTTCTTTCACTTAGCAATATGCATTTAAAATCATCCATGTATTTGTGTGGTTTTATAGCTTATTCCTTTATATTGCTTAATAGTATTTTGTTATATGGATGTAGCACTCACCTGGGAGCTGAGTGTAGCTCTGTGTTAGAGCACTTGTCTAGCATGTGCAAATTTAATTCCCAGTACTATAAAAACAAAAGAAAACATCTTTGTTGCTTCCAGTATTTAGTGGTCACAAATAAAAAAAATAAAGTGCTATGAACATTTATGTGCTTTTTGTGTGTGTGGACATAGGTTTTCTAATCAGTTGGGTAAATATCTAGAAGTTGTAATCACTGAATTATGAAGTAAAACTATAGTTAGCTTTTTAAGAATCTGCCAAACTGTCTTCCAAAATGGTTATACCATTTAACATTCCCACCAGCAATGAACAAGATGTTCCTGTTGCTTAACATCCTTGTTAGCAATTGGTATTGTCAGTTTCCTGGATTTTTGCCAGTCTAAAAGGTATGTGGTGGCTATTTATTACTAAATTTTTAAAGTTTTCTTTTTGTTATTAATTTTTAGTTGTAATGCATTATGATTAAGAAACACAGTCTATAAGCTACTGATTTGTTGGAATGAATTGGTCTTCTTTGTGATCTAATATGTGGTGTATTTTTTTAGGTCTTTTGAGTAGATGAGAAAATAGTGTTTCCTGTTTGTGAACTGAAGTTTAGCACAGTGATTCTGAGCACAGGCTTTGAAATCTCCTTGCTGAGTTTCAAACCCTGGTCTAAGGTTAATAGCAGTGTGAACTCAGGCAAGCTATAGTGAACTGCCATGCCTCACCTTCTTTAATAAATGAGAAATATAATAGTATCTGCCTTTTAGAGTTATTATGGATTCAAAAAGTTAATATTTGCAACTTAGAACTGTGCATAGTAAGCATGATATCAGTTGTATAAGAAATAAGTGTATCTAAACTTATTGTATATTTGGGGTATTTTATATTCCTCATGTTTTTTCTCTATGCATGCACACACACACACACACACACACACACACACACATGCACACATGCTGGGGTTAAACCCACAGCCTTCTGAATGCTAAGCAAGCACTTTACCACTGAACTACATCCCCAGCCCTTTTTATTTTTTATTTTTTGTCAGGGTCTCCCTAAGTTGCTGAGGCTGGCCTCGAACTTGCAATCCTTCTGCCTCAGCCTCCCAAGTTGCCGGAGCTCATTTTATTTTTTAATCTATCAGTTTACAAGGATAGTGTGCTAAAATCTCTAACTGTATTTGTTGTCATATTTAGTTCTTGCTGACCAACTAGCAATTGTTTGATATATTTTGATACTGTGGCAATAGATTCATGTTTGTGACAGATAGATCCTATGTTTCTATTGTTCTTTTTGTAAGTATAAATACAAAATGTCCTTTGTTCTTCCCTCTCTCCCTCCCCCTTCCATATATATATATATATATATATATATATGAAGGATATATATATATATAGTATGTATTAATATGTAGGTATGTGTGTATACATATATATCCTTCTTTGTGTCTTAATACTCACACACATACAATTTTTTTCTTTACATTTTACTTGGT